CTGTTACTCACTCACTAACCTGACCCATAACTACACACACACACCGAGGGTTACTCCACTGTTACTCACTCACTAACCTGACCCATAACTACACACACACACCGAGGGTTACTCCACTGTTACTCACTCACTAACCTGACCCATAACTACACACACACCGAGGGTTACTCCACTGTTACTCATCCACTAACCTGACCCATAACTACACACACACCGAGGGTTACTCCACTGTTACTCAGTCACTAACCTGACCCATAACTACACACACACAGAGGGTTACTCCACTGTTACTCACTCACTAACCTGACCCATAACTACACACACACCCCGAGGGTTACTCCACTGTTACTCACTCACTAACCTGACCCATAACTACACACACACACCGAGGGTTACTCCGCTGTTACTCACTCACTAACCTGACCCATAACTACACACACACCGAGGGTTACTCCACTGTTACTCACTCACTAACCTGACCCATAACTACACACACACACCGAGGGTTACTCCACTGTTACTCACTCCCTAACCTGACCCATAACTACACACACACACCGAGGGTTACTCCACTGTTACTCACTCACTAACCTGAGCCATAACTACACACACACCGAGGGTTACTCCACTGTTACTCACTCCCTAACCTGACCCATAACTACACACACACCCAGGGTTACTCCACTGTTACTCACTCACTAACCTGACCCATAACTACACACACACCCAGGGTTACTCCACTGTTACTCACTCAGGGTTTCCGCGGGGTCATAAAAAGTCATAAAACGTCTTAAATTTAATAATAAGAATTTTAGGCCATAAAAAGTCATAAAAACGTCCGGTTTTTCCATACAAGGTCATAAATTACATTTAGCCACGTCTTTAATTGATATGCTCATTCATTCATTATCGCGATATAATGTTTTCTCTATAAAACGATATCAAGAGTTCGATAAATGTTAGATCATGTTTATGCGCCAAAAGCGGAACGAAACTCATTTGAACCGCGCGCGCCTCACGGAGCGTTTATCCGCTCGGCTCAAAGTCCAAACGGCAGCGTAGCGCGATCAAGCTCACTAGAGCAGACGCGTTCTTTTACTGTCTATGGTTAACTTTGATCAGTCTCGATCACGAGATCCAGTGAGAAGCACTTGAATTCAGCGAAGAACACAAATGTCTCAGTGATTTAAACCAGTTTAAAGGCAGATGAAACAGCGCTGACGAACAGGAGAAACACTGTGCGCAACTATACAGTCAGAAAGCTTTTCCATCTACACATTTACATCCTTTACCATGGTTTTACTGTAACGTTAGCCTAGTAATATTAACTGCACCATGAAATGTGGGATACATATTGAATTGTATTATATTATTAATGTAGACAATGTATTAAAGGACTAATGGAATATAATTACAGTATTTATGTATTTAGGCTATAGCCTACTGTTTTTCATACATTTCATAAAGATACGTGCCATCAAAGTCAGGCAACACAAACCTGTTTCAAGACTTGAAACAATATCCCCCATTAGCACATGCAGAAACTAAGAAATTAATTTTGAAATAAAGATATTATTTTTGTTAAGGGAAAAATACAAATGTTTGAATGTTCTACCTCAGATTTGTGAAATGTTCACCTGTTTGGCAAGTGTTTGTCATGATATGTTTTGACAATAAAGAGTAGTTTAAAACCACAATTAACGCTCTGGTTTCTACAACTTTCAGTTGGGAACAAAAATCTGCCTTCAAAGTTCAAAGAAATAAAGAATTGACATTTATCGTCATAATTATCAATATTGACTGATATATTATCGTGATAAGTGTTGTGTTGTTCCTGTGTTATTGACACTTAGGAAAAGGGAGCCTTCAGTTTGTTACTCTTAAGAAAATGGAACCTTTAAATAATTAAACTTATTACTTTTAATGAAAGTCAATAAAAAAAAGACTTTTGAAAGGAAGTTATTTTTCGTAATTCGAGTAGGTCATAAATTTAAATCATATTGGTCATAAAAAGGTCTTAAAAGGTCTTAAATTTGACTGACTAAACCCTGCAGAAACCCTGCTCACTCCCTAACCTGACCCATAACTACACACACACACCAAGGGTTACTCCACTGTTACTCACTCACTAACCTGACCCATAACTACACACACACCGAGGGTTACTCCACTGTTACTCACTCACTAACCTGACCCATAACTACACACACACCCAGGGTTACTCCACTGTTACTCACTCCCTAACCTGACCCATAACTACACACACACCGAGGGTTACTCCACTGTTACTCACTCACTAACCTGACCCATAACTACACACACACACCAAGGGTTACTCCACTGTTACTCACTCACTAACCTGACCCATAACTACTCACACACCGAGGGTTACTCCACTGTTACTCACTCACTAACCTGACCCATAACTACACACACACCCAGGGTTACTCCACTGTTACTCACTCACTAACCTGACCCATAACTACTCACACACCGAGGGTTACTCCACTGTTACTCACTCACTAACCTGACCCATAACTACTCACACACCGAGGGTTACTCCACTGTTACTCACTCACTAACCTGACCCATAACTACAGACACACCCAGGGTTACTCCACTGTTACTCACTCACTAACCTGACCCATAACTACTCACACACCGAGGGTTACTCCACTGTTACTCACTCACTAACCTGACCCATAACTACTCACACACCGAGGGTTACTCCACTGTTACTCACTCACTAACCTGACCCATAACTACACACACACCGAGGGTTACTCCACTGTTACTCACTCACTAACCTGACCCATAACTACACACACACACCGAGGGTTACTCCACTGTTACTCACTCACTAACCTGACCCATAACTACTCACACACCGAGGGTTACTCCACTGTTACTCACTCACTAACCTGACCCATAACTGCTCACACACCGAGGGTTACTCCACTGTTACTCACTCCCTAACCTGACCCATAACTACTCACACACCGAGGGTTACTCCACTGTTACTCACTCACTAACCTGACCCATAACTACTCACACACCGAGGGTTACTCCACTGTTACTCACTCACTAACCTGACCCATAACTACTCACACACCGAGGGTTACTCCACTGTTACTCACTCCCTAACCTGACCCATAACTACACACGCACACCGAGGGTTACTCCACTGTTACTCACTCACTAACCTGACCCATAACTACTCACACTGAGGGTTACTCCACTGTTACTCACTCACTAACCTGACCCATAACTACACACACACCGAGGGTTACTCCACTGTTACTCACTCACTAACCTGACCCATAACTACACACACACACCGAGGGTTACTCCACTGTTACTCACTCACTAACCTGACCCATAACTACTCACACACCGAGGGTTACTCCACTGTTACTCACTCACTAACCTGACCCATAACTACACACACATCGAGGGTTACTCCACTGTTACTCACTCACTAACCTGACCCATAACTACACACACACCCAGGGTTACTCCACTGTTACTCACTCCCTAACCTGACCCATAACTACTCACACACCGAGGGTTACTCCACTGTTACTCACTCACTAACCTGACCCATAACTACACACACACACCGAGGGTTACTCCACTGTTACTCACTCCCTAACCTGACCCATAACTACACACACACACCGAGGGTTACTCCACTGTTACTCACTCCCTAACCTGACCCATAACTACACACACACCGAGGGTTACTCCACTGTTACTCATCCACTAACCTGATCCATAACTACACACACACCGAGGGTTACTCCACTGTTACTCACTCCCTAACCTGACCCATAACTACACACACACCGAGGGTTACTCCACTGTTACTCACTCACTAACCTGACCCATAACTACACACACACACACCGAGGGTTACTCCACTGTTACTCACTCACTAACCTGACCCATAACTACACACACACCGAGGGTTACTCCACTGTTACTCACTCACTAACCTGACCCATAACTACACACACACACCGAGGGTTACTCCACTGTTACTCACTCCCTAACCTGACCCATAACTACACACACACCGAGGGTTACTCCACTGTTACTCACTCACTAACCTGACCCATAACTACACACACACACCGAGGGTTACTCCACTGTTACTCACTCACTAACCTGACCCATAACTACACACACACCGAGGGTTACTCCACTGTTACTCACTCACTAACCTGACCCATAACTACACACACACCGAGGGTTACTCCACTGTTACTCATCCACTAACCTGATCCATAACTAAACTGACGTATGCATACACTCTATAGGTTGTCACATGACATGTCGGATGATTGACAGCTGTCACTCTGGTGCACATAACCCATAACTCTCTCAGTAATGCAGCGTTCATACAGCAGCGCTGGAGATTAAACACGATCACGCAGGTTATTAATAATCCCAGATTAACTCCCTTCCTCCCAGTGCATCTGATCACACATGCACATGAATAACTCATGCACTCGATTCAGCCCCATCTCTTTTATCTCGGAACACGTGCAGAAACTTTGATGGAAACACTTTTAAAAATAATATTTATATAATAGTTTTCTTTTAAAATTTGCACACGTGCATAAAATCTTAAAATGCATGCACTTAATTGAGACAGATCATTATATTATCTAATATGAAAACATGCACATGAATTATTATGTGCAAGTCATTTATCATTTTGGAAAAAACATTTTTATTATTGATATACGATGATATACGATTCCCAATAAATTATGATTTTGTTCTCTTGAACACAAGATGGAAACAGCGCTTTATTCACTAAATGTTTAATGCAATATTGCAATTTTTACAAAAAGTTAAATGTGCAACTTAGCTATAGACAAACGGATGTAGATTTAGTCATTTCTAATGTTCATTTATCAAGGCAGATAAAGAGCAGCATAAAGCACAGTGCAGTGCTATTAAAAAAACAAACTCTCTCTCTCTCTCTCTCTCAG